ACTACAATTCCTAGCCTCTAGTAACCATCATTCTACTCTCCATCTTCATGAGATCAATTTTTTTTCAGCTCCCACATACAAGTGAGGACATATGACATTTGTCTTTCTGTGGCTGGCTTATTTTACTTCACATAATGTCCTCCAATTCCATCCATGTTGCAGATTATAGGATTTCATTCCTTTTTTGGTGGAATATACATATTACATTTTCTTTATTCATTTATCCATTGATGGACACTTAGGTTGATTCCATATCTCCGTTATTGTGAATAATGCTACAACAAACATGGGAGTGTATATATCTCTTTGATACATGGACTTCCTATCTTTTGGATATATACATAGCAGTGGGATAGCTGGATCATATTGGTAGTTCTACTTTTAGTTTTATGAGGAATTTCCTTACTGTTCTCTATAGTGGCTCTGTTAATTCACATTCCTTCCAGCTGTGTCTGAGTCTTCCCCTTTCTCTACAACCCTGCCAGCATCTGCTATTACCTTTCTGATAAAAATCAGTTTAATTGGAATGAGATAATATCTCATTGTAGTCTTGATTTTCATTTCTATGATTATTAGTGATGTTGAGCATATTTTCTTTTTTTTTTTTTTTTTGCCATTTGTATGTCTTCTTTTCAGAAATACCTTTTCAAGTCTTTGCCTATTGAGTTGTTTGAGTTCTTTATATATTCTGTTTATTATTATCAGATGGGTAGTTTACATTTTTTTCCTCCTACTCTCTGGGTTCTGTTCACATTGTTGATTGTTTCTTGTGTTGTGCAGAAGCTTTTTAGCATGATGTGATCCTATTTATCTATTTTTGGTTTGGTTGCCTATACTTTCGAGGTCTTATTCAAGAAATCTTTGCACACACCAATGTCATGGAGCATTTCCCAATGTTTTATTCCAATAGTTTCATAGTTTCAGGTCTTACATTTAAGTTTTTAATCCATTTTGATTTGATTTTTGTACATGGTGAGAGAGTGATCGAGTTTCTTTCTTCTATATATGGATATCCAGTTTACCTAGCACCATTTATTGAAGAAACTATCCTTTCCCCAGTGTGCGTTCTTGGTGCCTTTGTCAAAAATGAACTCATGTAAATGCTTGGATTTATTTCTGAGTTCTTTATTCTGTTTCATTGGCCTATGTGTCTGTTTTTATGCCAGTACCATGTTGTTTTCATTACTATAGATTTTTGTATGATTTAAAGATAGCTAATGTGATGCCTTCAGCTTTGTTTTTTATTTATTTTATTTTTTATTGAGACAGGGTTTCACTCTGTGGTATGGGTTAGAGTATCATCATAGCTCACTGCTAGGTCAAAATCCTGGGCTCAAGTGATCCTCCTGCCTCAGCCTCCTGAGTAGGTGGGACCATAAGCATGTGCCAAAGTACTCAGCTAATTTTTCTATTTTTTGAAGAAATAGAGTCTTCCTGTATTGGTCAAGCTGGTCTTGAACTCCTGGCCTCAAGTCATCCTCTCACCTTGGCCTCTCAAAGTGCTAGGATTAGTGATGTGAGCTATTGTGTTCAGCCAACTTTTTTCTTTTTTCTTAATATTGCTTTGGCTATTCAGGCTCTTTTGTGGTTCTATATAAATTTTAATAGTGCTTTTAAAATTTTTTGTGAAGAATATCATGGTATTTTGATATTGTATTGAACCTGTAGATTGCTTTGGGTAGTGTGGACATTTTAACAGTATTGGTTTCTCCAATCCATGAACATGAACTATCTTTCCATTAATTTTTTTAGTTGATGTTTTATAGTTTTCCTTGTAGAGACCTTTTATTTCTTTGGCTAAGTTTATTCCTAGGTTATTTTGATTTGTAGGTATTATAAGTTGGCAATTCATTTTTCTAATTAAGTCTTTTGATGATCAGAAGTTTTACGTTTTGGTCAGGCCTAATTTTTCAATTTTGAAAAATGGTTATTGTGTTCTGTGACCCATCTAAGATACTTTTGATTATTCTCAAGTCAGGAATAAATCCTCCTGTTTTGTTCTTTGTCATTATTTTTTTTTTTTGATATTTGATGTATTTTTAATTTCCAAATTAGCTCATTAATTGGATTATGACTGGGATTTTCTTGAATCTATAAACTATAAGGAAATCAACATTTATTTTGATATACATATATATATTTTGAGACAGAGTATCAATTTTACAAAGAGGTGGCCAACATGTAGAGAATATTTTGTAAATATTTTGATAGTTTGTAAAATTCTGTAATGACTATTTTGTCAATAAAGGTACATTTAGCTACAATTTCCCAGTTTCCCTATGTATGGTGACTTCAGTGGTGGCTTTCAGGATTCCCTGCATTTGACTTGTTTTTCTCAAAATTATTTTAGAAACAGCGAGGTAACAGAACTTCATTTTTGTCAGTTCGTATTTTAGTTAAATATGTGCTTGGAAGATAAATCCACAAATTATTTAGTTTAATTTCTTCATGGCATGTAGAGGAAATAGATGTAGGCTTAAATAATTTGTCTGGGGTCATACTATTAGTACCAGAGTTCTGACAATATACCAGGCTTTTCTACTTCTCTACTTCAGTGATATTTCCACTATGAATTATTGGCATAGTATCTAACCAGTGTGCAATTCCTGAGTCCCTACAATGTGCCTGGCACTGTTCAATGTACACATATGTATGATACAAATTATTATGGTGATATAATTCTGGTCCTCAAATACTACAAAGTCCTATATAAGAGAAGACACAACTAGAAAACAGTAAAAGCAATGTATAATAAATTTCAAAATTGAATGGAATTAAGAATAAAATGGTATGGATGGAATTTAAAAGTAATATGGATATTTAAAATAAATCTGGCTGTGTCATGGCAATATTGAATTGTGACTAAAAGTACGTTGTGTAAGAGAGAACTGACAAAGGCAAACTTTGCTAACTTAAATGTTTAACATGAAAAGCAATCAAATTTGTGCTCATTTATTTATTTTTTTATTGTTTTTGAAACAGAGCCTCAAGCTGTTGCTCTGGGTAGAGTGCTGTGGCATCACATCTCCCAGCAACCTCCAACTCCAGGGCTTAAGTGATTCTCTTGCCTCAGCCTCCCAAGTAGCTGGGACTACAGGCATCCGCCACAGCACCTGGCTATTTTTTGGTTGTAGTTGTCGTTGTTGTTTGGCAGGCCCAGGCTGGATTCAAACCCGCCAGCTCTGGTGTATGTGACTGGTGCCTTAGCCACTTGAGCTACAGGCGCCAAGCCAATCTGTGCTCTTTGAAATAAAATGTTAACTGTTAAGAAAGGTGAATTATCAGTAGTTGATGAAATGATCAGAAGTCTTTATGAACAAAGAAAAATGTGAGGCAAAATTTCAAGAAATGACAGAATTAAGAATGGTAGGGGGATTATTGAAGAATTGCATTATTGGGATACAAACAATATTTTAATGAAAATCTGAATACCTCACAAATTAAAATGCAATTTCAATGCAGATGAAAGGAAGGATATTAAATATGTTTGTGAGCCTCTGAAATAAATTACTTTTAACTAAAGCTAAGTAAAACTAAATTTATATGAGAAGCTTAGACATGGAAATGGTTGCTGAATTTAAGTAGTGGAGTAGGAATTTAGATTTCTTTCTGGAGAGGTAGTGCTATTTTCCTCAGGTACTTTGCCTACAGTAGCTGGTCCTAATGGAAGATTATGTTGTCAAGAGCATACAGGAGCCCTATGTAGGTAATAAAGACTTTCATCTCCATTTTTCTTTCAATAATTTGCCCTAAACCAATTATATAACCCCTCTCATCCCTCATTTCCTTATCCAGAAGTGAGACTAATAATAACTGCTCTGACAACCTCATGGAAGCTGTGAACTTGAATACATACAATTTTTGTCAAGTATACCTCAATAAAGTTGGAGAAAAAAGAATTACACAGATTTCAGGTTCAATGAATATTCTATGAAGTTTTTTTTTTTTTTTTTTGAGACAGAGTCTTAAGCTGTTGCCCTGGATAGAGTGCAAGTGTCATGGTGTCACAGCTCACAGCAACCTCAAGCACTTGGGCTTAAGCTCTTCTCTTGCCTCAGCCTTCCAAGTAGCTGGGACTATAGGCGTCTGCCACAATGCCTGGCTATTTTTTCATTGTAGTTGTCATTGCTGTTTGGTGGGCCCGGGCTGGATTTGAACCTGCCAACTGCGGTGTATGTGGCTGGTGCCCTAGCAGCTTGAGCTACAGATGCTAAGCCACTATGAAGATATTTTTAGGGATACATTTTTCAGAGCTCTTTACAACATTGATGTGGTTGTCTCCAAGGTTATTATAGGCATTAATTATATTATTCTGTGGGTTTCAACAAGTATATAGTATGTGCAGTATGATTAATTGAATGCTTCATATGTACTGAATCATGTTTTCACCAATTAGGCTGATTTATACTTATTCAGTTAGCTGTTAGAATATCATTAGAAAATTCTTGTTTGTAGAACTTTTTATTTATACCTTAAGTACAAAAATTGCTTTCTTTCTACTTGTACCCATCATTATTGAAGAATGATGATGAAATGGTAATGCAGACAGACAGGCGCTGCAAGTGTAGTTTCTTACATAAGCAATGAAGAGACCATTTAGTTATTGAGGAAAAAGCAGAATAGGAGTTGTAATAGTATCTAATTTTTCTTTCACTTAGACATGACTGGACAAGAGTCATGAACACAAATGTTACTAAGAAAAACAGAACTTGGTTTATGAAGCAAAGGTACTATTCTCTAGTACCTAATATTATAATATTATTTTATGAGGTTTGTTATATTATAAAATGAATTATTAATAATGAAATAACATTTAATAACTCTCAATGAAGGTTCCAAATACACAAAGGATTAAATTTCTTAACAAAACAGGCAATTCTCCCTCACAAAATAGCCAAAAAGAATTTCCCACAAAAAACTAGACCCTGACGTGGTCTTATTAAAATATGAGCTACTGAGTATCAGTTATCTATTTTTGCAGAACAAATAACACAAACATGGTGGCTCAAAACAATACACATTTATTATCCCACAGTTTCTGTGGGTCAGGATTCTGAGCTTAACTGAATTCTTTGCTTTATAATCTCTAATGAGGCTAAGATCAAGGGGTCATCTGTGGCTGGACACTCATCTGAAAGCTCAAGTGGGAAGGACCTGCTTCCAATCTTACACAGTTGTTGGCTGAATTCAGTTCATTGTAGGCTGTTGGTCTGAGGGCCTCAGTTCTTTGCTGGCTATCAACTGTTCCTAGTCATATCTTCTTTTCCACAGGACAGTGCAGAACATGGTAGCTTGCTTTATCAGAGCCAGCTGAGGATCTCCTAGCAAGATGGAAGTTACAGTCTTAGGTAATATAATCACAGAAGTGACATTACTTTTGTTGTATTCTACTGGTTAGGAGCAAGTTACAGGTCCTGCTCACTCTCAAGGTAAGGGGATTATGTAAGGGTGAGAAGAAGTAGTAGGGGATCAGTAGGGTCATTTTAGAGACTGTTGGAAAAGAATAGATTACCAACAAAAATAATTTTATGGTTGGGGGTCACCAGAACATGAGGAACTGTATTAAAGGGTTGTGGGATTAGGAAGGTTGAGAACCGCTGTCTTATACTATTCTGCTCTTTCTTCAGCTCTGAAATAAAAATGACTTACGTCAGATCTGGAAAAGTTATGAAGAGTTGTATTTTGAAAAAATCGTTAGAGAAAAATACAATCTTTCAAAAAATTACTTGAATATTGGCTCCGTGCCTGTGGCTTAAGTGGCTAACATGCCAGCCACATACACCTAAGGTGGCAGGTTCAAATCCAGCCCGGGCCCGCCAAACAACAATGACGGCTGCAACCAAAAAATAGCCGGGCGTTGTGGTGGGTGCCTGTGGTGGGCACCTACTTGGTAGGCTGAGACTGGAGACTTGCTTGAGCCCAGGAGCTAGAGGTTGCTGTGAGCTGTGATGCCACAGCACTCTACCCAGTTTGAGGTTCTGTCTCAAAAAAAAAAAATTACTTGAATAGTGCATTTCATCAGCAAATCCTGTTCATTTTGTTATAGTGGTAACTGGTCACTATTAAAAATGGAATTCTCAACAGCACATTGCCATGTTACCCCATAAAAATAGCCTTAATTAAATAAAATAGCAAATCTTGCACATTTAGAAGTTTGCATAAGAGATTAAATGTGTCTTTGATATAATAAAGTTTTTGATTTATTGACAAAACTTCACTAGGTATCTAAAAGAGCTGTTTATTTTCTTAACCAGCTCAAAACACTAGCTATTAAAATCCTTAGAACAATTATACCTCCCCCCCGCCCAATATTTTCTATGTGACAACCTTTTTTGTCTATTTTGAAGACTAACAAAGACTGGAAAAGCTTAAGATGGAAGAGATTCAATGATGTTTGGATTGTTCAGTTACAATCAGTGGATGCCCTCTAATAGGACTGAAGTAAGTTCATTAGCTTGTTTCATGGGTATTTAGGAAAATCCTGTTTATAATACAGTTATACAGTTAAGCTAGAGAAGCAGCAGCTGTGGAAAATGGACCCAACTACTGCCTGTAATAGTGGATGGTATGAATTGGAGTGCTATAAGCAGTGATAGAGCTGTGTGGAAGATGGAAGATAAAGATGAACGTCATACTTTTAAATTTGCTAGTCTATCCTAGACTAAATCCATGCTACAACCCTTAATGTTGGTACTTCTGTTCTATTGCTCTATGTCAGAATACAGGATGTATTTCAAGAGATTACAATGATTTGTAGAACTTCCTTGCCTATACATAGTATAAATGGGTTGAATAAATTTTGGGCCTGAATTATTTATCACATATTATGTATATTATCTTTCTTTATGTATGGTTAATAAATTCTATATAGAAAAGGTTAATAAATGAAACAATAAGATTTGGTACCAGACTACCAAGTAGACTAAGATATTATTCAAGCCACATGATTATAGAGAACATCCTTCCATTTGGTAGCAGCATAAAACAGACAAAAGTCTACACTATCTCCGTTTCCTTGCAGAAAATAGAATTTCACATTAGCTAAAGTAGCAGTTTGGCATCTTGATGGGGCTCTACTTTGTCATTGTCATTGGTATGTCCTCTAAAGTACAAACAGAAAATTCCCTTCTGAATACATAATGAAGTAAGTAGTCTTATAAACTTATGCCCTCTAATCTCTAGGATAGATTCGGAGGATAGCAGGGGTTTGGCTGAAACAATACTTGTTTGGTAGTGGAGAAAATAAAATAAGAAAGCAAAAGCCTGGGAATGCAAAGGTCCTTTGTGTAGCAAGTATTTGCTTTGAGTGAAAAATACTTTTTCTAATTTCCGATTGTGTGGCTCCTATTTCAGGATAGAATCTTCTTTGAATATTTCAATATTAAATAGACTATATTTAGCTGTAACGCAAGCCTGTGATCTTTGTCCAAGGATTTGGTTCAGTTATAAATCAGAAATTCAAATGTCAGATTATGCGTGATTTATCCAGCTTTGGATATGGGCATTTAGAAACACATCCTCTCACAGTCTAGGGGTGGATTTTTAGTTATTTGGAGGAATATTCTCAGAAATCTATCCAGTCTATGAAAATTATATACATATATGTGTGTGTAATTTACTTTATGTGATTTTTTTTTTTAAGAGACAGAGTCTCACTTTAGGGCCCTTGGTAGAGTGCTGTGGTATCACAGTTCACAGCAACCTCCAAATCCTGGGCTCAGGCGATTCTCTTGCCTCAGCTTCCTGAGTAGCTGGGACTATAGGCGCCACCAAAACACCTGGCTATGTTTTTGTGGCAGTTTGGCTGGGGCCGGGTTCGAACCTACCACCCTCAGTATATGGGGCCAGTGCCCTACCCACTGAGCCATAGACACCACCTGCTTTATGTAATTTTTAATTATAAGAATGGGGAGCTTCTTTGCCAAAACTGGTTTATGTGTGCTGAAGATATTGAAAGGCCAGCAAAGTCCCCAAATTTCTAGACCAGATTTCACATGAAGAAACTGGCTAATTGGGAAGCTATTCATTTAAACAGAATTATTGTATATTTTAATGTATAAATTAGTATCAGATGTAGGTTAGAGACAATTTCATGTTTAGAGTCATGAATAAGTTTGGAAACAAATTACACTGTCAGGCAAAGTGAAGTCAACTAATTAAGTAAAGTTAACTAATGGGTTTGCCATTTACACAAGTCCCATAGATGGGGTGAGATTTTCTTTTTGGTAAACTTTTGGACAGGATTAAAGGGTCAGTTGTAGACAGTGACCTGAAATCGAAACAACTAGCATTAGTTTGTAAGTTTCTAAGCTTTCCTTAGTAAATTCAAGAGACAGAAACATGTCTGAGATACCTTTTCTTCTTTTGTGAATTGAGCAACAGAGTAAAGAACATGTTCTCAGCAGACAGTGAGGCAGCTTGAAGCTTAAGAACAGGGAGAGAATGGGGCAGGTTCCTCATCTGTGTGGGAATGTGAACTTTTGAGTGAGTCCTTGGTAAGCTAAGAATAACTTATTTTGAGGGGCATAGGTGGGGGTAACCTAGCAAGTATAAACACCTCCTTTCTAAAAATCAATATAAGATATTACCATACATATAGTTAGGAAACATTTAAAAGAATTTTGCTTGTTTTTATTAGTATTTATTTTCTTATAAGTTTCTGTAGGGCAGGAGAAACTTAATCCTGTTCAATAAAGATTCCACCAGGGTTGTAGCTAAATTAATGGGAGCCTATGTAGTATCCAGATACCCACATGGTATTAATTTAATCCTTGAGGTCTTTATTTATTCATACCAGCATCCATAGACATACTATTACTAGCCATGCAGTTTGTTGCCAGTATTCCCTCATTCTTGACCTGAAGATGTCTTCAGGATCAGATTCTCTTCAGCACTCTGTGACTCACTCAGACCTATCTGCCTAAACATAACTAACTCAACCATTTTTATTCTGTGGTTCTGTCACTGCGCTGAGCTCTACCCGGGAATAGAGGCACTGATTCTGTATTTCTCATATCCCCCAAACTGATTTAGGTTTTACTGCCTCCCCTTCCCACTGGGGATTAATTTTGGGTGAATAAGGAGGAGGAAGTCACAGTGTATGGGTTGCTTCTTAGGAGGTATAATGGCACAAATTATTTTAGCTTAAGTAACAGATCATAGCCAACGATGGCTTAAACAATTATTGCACACAACAAGAAATCTACAGATAAGAGATCAGGACTGGTATTACCAAGAATTCATCTTCCTGCTGTGCTTCCACTTTGTTATCTTTGGTGTTTGTTACTGTGCTTTTTATATTCACAAGGTGACTGCCACATCCCCAGATGTCTCACTCATGGTCAAGGTGGGGAAAAAGCACCATTAGCACCAACTATGTTCTACTCAACGAGAAAAGCAAAGGCTTTCACAGAAGCCACTCAGAAATTTTCCTTTCACCACACTGAGTTATCCAGCTATCAATGACTGGCATAAGAACCCACAGATACTTAAATTCTCACTTTTCTTCTCTCTTCAAACCTCATTATCCCAGGAAACTTTTTATAGTCTCTCTAGGACAGAAACTGAGTTGGCTTATTCAAGTCACTTCCAGTCAGCTTCACTGTTTCACTCTATAGGTTAAAGAATCTAAGTGTCTGATTGCTCAGCTTTTCTTCCTTTTAAGGTTCTCTCCCTGTGACCTGGTTATAGCCAATCTAAGTGTGTGTGTGTGTGTGTGTGTGTGTGTGCTCTTTCCAAATATAAAACACAAAAGCTCTCAGGGAAAACTATTTATCTTTGTCATTCCCTTCTCTTCCTATGTGGCACACAGCCTTGATGCCTAAAAATGCAGCAGCCATTGCATGACTGTGAGGGCTCAAAAATGAGGATATCAATATGATGGAACAAAAAGAATTTGGAGCATGATGGCATTATGGATTCATTTCATCAGACCTATGGGCTGTACCTCGGAACTTTTCAAATGAGAAAAGTACCTCTCCTTGTTTAAGACAATTGTATGATTTTCTGCTACTTGTAGCCCAATGTAATGCTAACTAATATAGGGAGAAAACATGTTTTTATATGTAGTATTATCATTTGGAAGTCTTTCACTCTAGTGTCTTTTCCAGGGCTGTCCCCATTTTCCAAAAAGGTCCCAATTTTCAAAACCAAGGAACAATTTCTTTTCTCTGACATTTTGCAGGGTCAGATATTTTGCTGTATCAAAATAGGCTAAGATGGAAAGAGAATTTATTGGATGAATATTAGCATAGTAGACTTTCCTTAAGTTGACAACCCAAGGGACTGTAACAAATTGGTTGATATCTGGAGGTAGTCAAGATAAGGAACTAGGCCTACTGTACTGATATGTACATGTGGTGTGTGCCTGATCTATGAAAATTAGATTAATATAAGGGGGTGGTCAATGTATGGAGGTGGTCAACTATGGAGGTTAGGAAATGTAGCTGTACCTCACTATGGAATGGGAAAGCTGGAACTCACATGAATGGAGGCTATTCCAGGCAATAGGTAAATGTACCTGTTCCAACCTACATACAAATTCAATTTAAGAACAAACCTACAGAAATGATTTCATTCATAACCTAGGGACTGCCTGTATTCTTCTGAGAAGAGCATGGATATGTGTGTGTAAGTGGTTGTTGAAGAAGCCACCATGGGCATCTCTAAACCTCTCCTGAAAGTTCAATGTGCTGAAAAGTAAACCAAATTAATCATTTACTTATTCTACAAGCGTTAGTCTCACTTGTTCCTCTCTTTATATTTTAGGGAATGTCAGTCTATTCATCCAGTTGTCCACATCATAAATCTCTCCATGACAAATAATTGTCATAATAGCTAACAGTTATTGACTATGTGCATTAGGTAATAAGCCTTCTGTATGCATTCTCTCATATTCAACCTTATAGCAACCCTATAAGTAGGGAGTATTTATTTTATTGATAAAGTGAAATTCAGCAATGTTAAGTGAAGTGAATCCAACATCTCTTTAATTACTCAAATAATTTCAAGTCTCCTTGCCTTTGATCTTTCCCCTCCAAACTATTTTTCTTTTTAACTGGTAATTTCTAAAACACAAATGTGATCATCATAGTACTTTTGTGCTTAAAACTCTTCATAGTTCCCTCAGGTCAAAGTCCAAATTCCTTTATATGATGTACAAATGCTTATATGATCTGGGAAACCTCCATCCACATCTCTTTTAGTCACTGTCCTGTCCACAGCTTCTTTGCAGTTCTTAATAGTCCATTTCTTACTTTTGTTCAGCCACCCTCTTGCCACTCTCCCAGCTAACTCTTACACATTACCCACACTAAGGATTCAGATTAGATGTTACTCTATTCAGAAGCCTCCTGATTAAACTGAGTGCTCTTTAGATGTTACTCTATTCAGAAGCCTCCTAATTAAACTGAGCGCTTCTTTGTAATCCTGTCTCATTCAGTGCTTTTCTTGTATATTTATCACACCATATTGTAATCTTTTGTTAACGTGTTCTGTCTTTGGCACTGGATTGTAAAGTCCTTGAGTGGAGGAATTATGGCTGGTTCAATGCCGAATACCCTAATAGTTCTGTAGTGGTTGGTGCATGACAGTTGCTCAATATATATTTGTTAAACGAATACATTTTAAGTAGAAGTTTGGAAGAACTGGCAAAACTATTTGCAGAGAAATAGATACTAAGAATTTCTTGTTTAGTGAATGACTTGACAGCTGTTTTTATCTCTATCCTTTTGGCTTGCAATTTATGAAACTGAGCAGAAAAAAAAGATTAATAAAATGAGTTGAGAAAAAGTCATGAAACAGTGAGAAAATGATACAAAACAATAAGCTAAAAATGTCAAACAGGGTAAGATAAAGAAAGCTGAATGAAACAACAAGGTTGCACAAAGGGGGTAACTTTTTCAGAGTTTATGAAATGGAGTGTACTTTGCTGGCAAATCTCATTTAACCCTTACAGTAATGTTATGTCTGAATGAAGGATACAAAAATTAAAGATCAGACTAAAGCAAAATAAACTAAATAATTTTGTATCTTTTTTTGGTAGATTTTGGCTGGGTGGGGTTTGAACCCACCACCTCCGGTACATGGGGCCTGGGGCCAGGGCCGCTCTACTCCTTTGGGCCACAGGCGCCGCCCTAATTTTGTATCTTTGATACAACAAATAACCTAGAAAATAAGAAGCCAATGAAAATAAACTACAATCAACTCTATAAAGTATTATTAAGAATATGCCAGGGTAAACTGTCCCATACTCCAAAGAACCCTTCTGCTGGGAATGTAGGGATACTTTCTTCCACCAGGATAAACTTCACCTCCTTCCTCAAGCTTGGTCTAACTCAGATTCCTTCTTTTTTCTTTTTGGATAAAGAGTTTCTCTCTTTCTCATCCCAGGCTGAGTGCAGTGGCGTCAGCCTAGTTCACAGCAACCTCAAACTCCTGGGTCCAAAGAATCTTTCTGCTCCGGAACAGCCGGGACTACAGGCGCCTGCCGCAATGCCTGGCTAATTTTCCTATTTTAAGTAAAGACAGGGTCTTGCTCTTGGCTCAGGCTGGCCTCCAACTTCTGAGCATATGGGATTTTCCCGCCTCAGCCTCCCAGAGGATTACAGGCGTCAGCCACCAGGGCCGGCTCAACTTCTCTCCTGAGCAACTTTCATTAGACCTGCTTTCTGACTTAACTAAATTTTTCCCAGTCTAGTAAAACACTCAGACCTCTCTTTCAGGGAAACGCCAGCAACACAAGTAGTGAATACCAACACAAAGCAGATTATTATTACAGATCGCCACAAGAAAAAAATAAAAAGGTAAAATCTTTAACATTGACAGTGTTTAAGTGACCATACAGGGCACGGTAAGAAATCCCGGGGTCATTTTTGGGATTCACCACTTCCTACCTCTGGTAAGTCGGGTCAAGTCTCTTTAAACTTTTCAAGTCTCAATTTTCAAACTAATAAAAACAGGATACTTGTCGTCTGCTTACTCCGTGACTTCTATAACGGTCAAATGAAACACTGTATATTAAGGCACTTCACAAACATTAACGAAACGCTGCAAAACGTCTGCAGCTGTTCACAAACTGGATCATCAACAAACGGAAAACCGTTTGTGAAGAGGAAGCCTAGCGGCGTCGCGTGACGTCATCATCCTGCGCCCACCGCGACGATTTCCCAGCAGGCTTCAGGGCAGCATTCCGCGCCATGGGAACTTGGCATCGTCTGTTGAGTTTTGGTGGTGTGGTACTGCGGGGTAGTGGCGGGGCCGCTACCCCGCTTGGGAGAAGCCGAGCGTTGGTTTGTCGGCGCCAGGTCCGTGGTGCTTCAGGGCCGGGGTGGGCGGGCGGACAGAGATGCTAGACTGTAGGACTCCAGGTGCTCTGGCATGGCCTGAGGACTCGGGGCCCACGCCCACTTAGCGGTTCAATGAAACCTCTTCAGTCGGCTTTTCAGGCTGGCGCTCTGTGGGACCAGGCTGAGTTTGCCGGTACGAGAGGCAGGGTTCCAACGTAGATATAGTATTCCACGTTGCCTTATTGGTTTTGGATTATTTAACAAATAGGTTAAAGAGAAAACACGTGGAACCCTTAACTCCGCAAAGCGGCAGCTTAGTTTTTTCTTTCCTTTTTTTTTTTTAAAGTCATACTATCCATACTATCTTGGCAGATAAATTAGTTTAAACAAAGTTTCTTTACAGTTGATTTCGGTAGCAGTAGGTAAATATCACTAAAGTGAAGGTGAACAGAATTAGAAAAGAAAGCCCTCTTAATCACAGACCCTGAATTGTTTTTACTTTAGAGTATGGTAATGGAGATGGCTTACTTAAGAAGCTTTATTTTTTATTTTTTAAAAAGTTATCTAATGCTGACAGTGGAACCTTAAAACGAAGAACACAAATTATGTCCCGAGGACTTCCAAAGCAGAAACCAATTGAAGGTGTTAAACAAGTTATAGTTGTGGCTTCTGGAAAGGGTGGAGTTGGAAAGTCTACCACAGCAGGTATTATAGGATATTAATTTTTATCTTTATTAAGAATTTATGCCAAGTAGTAAATGCACACTATTAAAATTATGGTTTTGTTTTTTAAAAAAGTTTACTTGTGAAGTTCCTAACAGCTGGATTCTTAGTTTCAAGAGTCAGTAGTGGGTAGAACCTTAGGTTTTGGACTTAGACAAAACTAGGTAGGTAACCATGTCTTTTACCCCTTAAGCGAGGAAAAAGTAATCAGATTGCCCAGCAGATCTTCAGTTTGCATAACTGTAAAATGGGAATGATAACTTCTTTCGTAGGATTGTTATGCAAATTAAAAAACTGCTTAACCCCAGTGGCTCTTATCTACTCTTTTAATAAGTGCTCAGTAATTGGTGTTATTTTTAAAATATCTAGTAACTTTAATACTAAATTATTTTTGTTCTTTGGTATTCTTTTTCAGTCTTTATCAATGCACATATAGCTACATATTTGCAATGAGATTATACTATTGTGCCTTTTTAAACTGTAGTACAATTTTCACCATTTATAAAGTCAGCAGAGATGTTTGAGGCCAGCTCTGTGGCTCACACCTGTAGTCCTAGCACTCTGGGAGGCTGACGTAGGTGGATTGCTTGAGCTCAGGAGTTAGAGAGCAGCCTGAGCAAGACTGAGACCTCATTTCTACTAAAAATAAAATATTTAGTTGGGCATTGTGGCTTCTGCCTGTAGTCAACACTACTTGGGAGACTGAGGCAGGAGAATTGCTGGAGCCCAAGAGTTTGAGGTTGCTGTGAGCTATGATGCCGTGGCATTCTACTGAGGGCAGGGCTACAAAGTGAGACTCTGTCTCAAAAAAAAAAAGAAAAAAATTGCCTGAAAAAATTTAGCATTGTTTTAGTTATTTAAAATGTCATCTAATCCATATATCTTTTATATTAACATATTAAGATGAGAGTTTTTTTTTCGTGGGTCTTATTATTGATTGTAGACGTCATCGTCATCAAAATGATGTGAGAACCTGTAAAAGAAGTGCCACCATAAATGAGATAACAGCCATGACTAACAATCAGATATCACCAAAAATTTTCAAAAGAAAACTTGTATTTCTAAAAACTTTATTCCAGTGTAGTAAGAGGAGAATCTCTCTTCTTCCAATTTTACTCACTAGAAGTGAGTAACTTATATCATTTTTCTTCATCAAGAAGTGACTTATATCATTTTTTAGGTTTGTTGAGGGATAATTGACACATAAAATAATTGTGTATGTTCAAGGTGTAGAATATGATGTATTAACATACATTGTGAAATGATTTCCACAATCAAGCTAGTTAACGTATCATAATATCTTTCTTTTTGGTATGTCTGAGATGAGAAAGCATACTTAAGATCTACTCTTTGTGACTTTCTTTTTTTTAAATTAAAAAAATTTTTTAATTTTTAATTTTTTATTAAATGACAACTTTGTATATTGATGCATTTATGGAGTTCAGGGTACTGCTTTGATATACAATGTGAAGTGTTTACATTGAACTAAGTAATGCATCCATTACAATTATGCTCATTTCTTAATAGTTTTGAAATGTACCATTGCTTCATGCATATTAGGCCCCAAATACCCTTACTCCTCCCATATCTCTCCTCCCCTTCCCCTCTCTCCTCTTCTCTTCTACTTTCTGGACTATATACTCTTTGTGACTTTCAAACATAAATACGTTATTATTATTCTTATTATTTTGAGACAAAGTCTCACTACGTTCTCCTCAGCACTCTGTTGTGGTGTCACAGCTTACAGCAACCTCAAACTCTTGGGCTTAAGCGATTCTCTTGCCTCAGCCTCCCAGAGTAGTTGGGACTAAGGGCACCTGGACCAAGGCTTGGCTTTTTTTT